TTTGATTACAATTTCCATTTCACATGTAGTTATTGGCCTATTCAGGTTTTTTGATTCTGCCTGACTGAGTTTTGGAAGCTTGTATTTTTCTAGCAATGTGTCCATTTTGTGGAGGTTGTCTAGTTTGTTGGAGTAGAGTTGTTCATAGTATTTTGTGACAATCCTTTGTATATCAGTTGGGTCAGTTGTTACTTCACCTCTTTCATTTCTGATTTTATTTATTTGAGTCCTCTTTCTTTGTTTCTTGGTGAGCCTGGCAAGAGGTTCATCAATCTTGTTAATCCTTTCAAAGAACCAGCTCTTGGTTTCATTGACTTTTTGTATTTTTTTTGATTTCTATGTTGTTTATTTCTGCTCTGATCTTTATTATTTCCTTCCTTCTGGATACTGTGGGCTTTTCATGTTGCTCTCTTTCTAACTCTTTGAGTTGTAGGGTTAGATCATTTATTACCAGTTTTTCTTGTTGTTTGAGGTAGGCCTGTAGAGCTATGAACTTCCCTCTCAGGACTGCTTTCATTGTGTCCCATAGTCCTTGGATTGTTGTGTTTTAATTGTCATTTGTTTCCAGGTTGCTTTTTATTTCTTCTTTGATCCTTCTTGTAACCCAATCTTTGTTTAATAGTGCCATAGACCAATTCCAGCATGTCATAATTTTAAGAGTTTCATCAAAATGTTGATGAAACTTGGGGACTCAACAGGGTTGAGTTGCACATGTAGTCACCAGTTGGGAATGGCTAAAGGCATTTCCCCAAACCTGAATAAGAAATGACTGTGGCTGCCAGACAGTTAAAGGGCATATTAATCTACATGTTATTGCCTCCTACTGGCCAAACACCTGAACAGCTGTAGGCTATTCCCCAAACTGGCAATGCTTTTGTACCCTCTGAAACCTTATCTTTTGATGTGTATTATCTCCACCTTGCCTTAGGACAAATTGTGTTAATAAAAGAAAGGGTCATAGACAAGGAGGGAGTCTTTAGTTCCTTTATCTGAAACTCCTCTGACCCCCAGTGCCTTTCAAAATTATATCTCATCTCCAGGGTCTTTATTAGTCTCTGGATTTCTATGTCATCTACACACAGCCTTTTCCAGATTCCTGAACCCTTCTTGATGCTGGAACATGAAACCCAGCATATAATAGCATGTTATTTAGCCTCCGAGTGTTTGATTTTTTTCAATGTTTTATTGTAGTTGATTTCTAGTTTTATGCCATTGTGCCCAGGAACCGTCTGTTGGGGTGGTGGGGCTCAGGAGGCCTGCATTCTGGAAAGGTGTGACTGTGGTGTCCAGAGTTCTGTAGTTGTGGGATGGGCAGCCTCAGCTTTTGTGGTGGGACTCAGGAGGCCTGCGTTCTGGAAAGGCGTGACTGTGGTGTCCAGAGTTCTGTAGTTGTGGGGTTGGCAGACTCAGCTTTTGCTGCTGCCTCTGTGGTTGGATACACACAATCCCAGCACCTGTGGTGTGTTTGCCATTAGGGTGTACTGACACACTCTGAAGGGCCCTGGCACTGACGCCTCTGGATTGCAGTGTCTGGGGGCAAGTATCCCAGAAGAGCGAATTCAGCATTTCTACAGCCCAGCAGTGCACCCCTGTTTGTTTAAGTGCGTGTCCAGCCGGGCTCACAGCGGGGCCCCAGGGCTACCTGTGGAGTGGTGGTCTTGGGAGACCTGCACGCTGGAAAAACATGCAACTGTGGTGTCCAGAGTTCTGCCGCTGTGGGGTGGGGAAACTCAGATTTTGCTGATGCACCTGTGGTGGATAGGTGCGCATTCCTGGTGGTGGCACACAGGAGCACCGACAGTAAGTTTGCTGGAGCAGGTGCACTGAAGCACTCTGAAGGGCCCTGGCACACTTCATCAAGGTATCTTTGGGCAGGTATTCAGGATGGGTGAATTCACAATTTCTGCTGCCCAGGGGAGTGCATCCCTATTTGTCCAAGATTGGACCCAGCAGAGGCTCACTGTGGCTTCCCAAAGTGCCCTGTGGATAGATGGGCTCAGGGGGAATGAACAAATCTGGCAGTGCCTTTGCCAGGAGCTGAGCTCTGATGAACTTTGAGGGGCCCTGGCACTGAAGGGCCCTGGAGCTTAAGTTTCACACCTGGGTGTGTGTGGGCAGTTATTCAGGCAGAAGGAATTCAGAAATTCTACTGGGGGGCAGTGCGCCCGTGTCTGTACAAAATGACACTCAGCTGGAGCTCACAGTGACTCCTAAGAGAAGTCTGTGGAGTGGTGTGCCTCAGAGACCTGCTGGCTGGAGACTTACGAATGTGATGGTCTGAGGTCTGCTGCTGGTGAGGGGGTGGCTTCACTTACTGCTGCGGGCGCGGTGCTCCTTTGGAGGTGGAGATCCCAGGGTCTGCGAGTCTGTGGGTGTGGCCACAGGATTTTGGCTGGAGCGGCTGCTGGGTCATGGACAGTATCCCAGTCCTGTCTGGGTTGTGGTGCTGATGAGTTCCTAGAAGAGGCCGCTCTCCACTTCAAGATGACGTGGGCTCCGTGCCTAAGTCCCACAGTTCTGGGAATTCCCGCAGTGGTAGTAGTCTCTCCCTGTCCCAGAGAGGCTGATCTACCAGCCCCTGCTGCTCCTAATGGATTTAATTGTCCCTGACTCACTCACACACACAACACACACATCCACACACTCTCTTTTCATCCCCTCACTCACTCACTTCCTATCCCTCATCTCCATTCTGCCAGCTGCCATCTTTTTTCTCCTGTATCACAGTCTTTTAATCCACTCTTCTGCTGATGGGCACTTACGCTGTTCCCAATTCTTAGCTATTCTAAATTGTGCTGCTATGAACATAGGGGTGCATATATTATGTCTGATTGGTGTTTCTAGTTTCTTGGGATATATTCCTGGGAGTGGGATCACTGGGCCAAATGGGAGTTCCATTTTTAGTGTTTTGAGGAAACTCCATACTATTATCCATGGTGGCTGCACCAGTCTGAATTTTTACCAGCAGTGCATGTGGGTTCCTTTTGCTCCTCATCCTCACCAGCACTTGTTATTTGTTGTTTTGTTGATGATACCATTTTGACAGGTGTGAGATTGTTCATCACTGTCATTTTGATTTGCATCTCTCAGATGATTAGAGGCTTTGAGCATGTTTTCATATGTCTCTTGGCCTTCCTTATGTACTCTTTCAAAAAGTATTTAGGTCCGTTGTCCATTTTTTGATTGGGTTATCTTCCTTTTGTTAAGTTGTATGAGTTCCCTGTAAATATTGGAGATTAAACCCTTATCTGAGATAACATTGGTAAATATGTTCTCCCATGCCATGGGCTTTCTTGTTGTTTTGTTGATGGTTTATTTTTCTGTGCAGAAGCTTTTAATTTTGATGCAGTCCCATTTGTTTATTTCCTATTTAGTTTATATTGCCCTAGAAGCTGTATCGGTGAAGATATTGCTTAGGCATATGTCTGAGATTTTGCTGCCTTTGGATTCCTCTAACATTTTTATGGTTTCCTGTCTAATGTTTAAGTCCTTTGTCCATTTTGAGTTTATTTTTGTGTATGGTATAAGTTGGTGGTCTAGTTTCATTTTTTTTTTTGCATGTATCTGTCGAATTTTCCCAACACCATTTACTAAAAAGACTGTCTTGATGCCATTGTATGCTCTTGCCTTCTTTGTCAAATATTAATTGCGCAGAGTGGTTTATGTAGATTTCTGTGTTCTCTATTCTATTTTCTTGGTTTATATGTCTGTTCTTGTGTCAGTACCAGGCAGTTTTGACAACAGTGGCTTTGTAGTACATTTTGATACCTGGTACTGAGATCCCGCCTACTTTGTTCTTCTTTCTCTGAATTGCTGTAGCTATTTGGGGCCCTTTTTTATTCCACATGAATTTTTGGAGAACTCTTTCTAGGTCTGTGAAGTATGCTGTTGATATTTTATTTTATGTTGTTTTTTTATATTTCTTTGTTTATTATGTTTTTAATTGTTTAAAGTATTACAAATAGTAGTATATATGTCTCCTTTTCCCCCCTCCACATTGTTGTCATTGTTATTTTAATGAGGAGTGCATTGAATCTATAGATTTCTTAAGGTAGTATGGCTATTTTAATGATGTTAATTCTACCAATCCATGAAAACAGCATGTTCTTGTATTTTTTTGTGTCTTTCTCTATCACTTTTTTCAGTGTCCTATAGTTTTCTGAGTACAGGTCTTTTACCTCCTTAGTTAAATTTATTCCTACATATCTTATTTCTTTGGTGCAACGGTAAGTGGGATTGTTTTTTATCTCTCTTTCTGTAAGTATACTATTGGTGAATAAAATTTTTAATTTAAATGCTTTATCATTTAAAGTATTACATGAGTCTCCTTTACCCCCCACTGGTCTCTCTCTGGAGCCTGCCACCGCCTAGCACATGTCCTCACTCCCCAATTGTCTGTGTCCATTGGTTATGCTCATATGCTTGCATACAAGTCTTTTGGTTGATCTCTTACCCCCAGCCTTCCTTCAGAAGTTGGATAGTCTGTTCGATGCTTCTATGTCTCTGGGTCTATTTTATTCATCAGTTTATGTTCTTTTTTCTTCTTTTTTTTTCAATTTAAATCTTTATTGTTCAGATTATTACAGTTGCTCCTCTTTTTTCCCCCCATAGCCCCCCTCCACCCGGTTCCCACCCCACCCTCCACCCGCATCCCTCCACC